AAATCTCTCGCATAAAATCAAGCACGGGTGTGCGGTGAATAGTTCGGATTCAAGAGCGTAAAACGCGGCTTGCTCATGATGTTTCTTTTTCCTTTTCGTCGGTGCAACGAAGGAAGGTAGATCGCGTTGCGCGGCTCGCCATATTGGCAAATCGGCGCGGAAGGGTCGCTTCGGCACGGGGAAGCCCGCGGTAGAATGAACGCAGGAACGCAGGCGAGAGTTTGACCGAGAGGTGCAGAAAGAGAAAGAGAAAGAGAAAGAGAGAGAAAAAGCGAGAGAGAGAGAGAGAGAGAGAGAGAGAGAGAGAAGCGGGTGATAGAGGGGAAAAAGAAAGAAGGAAAAAGAAAGAGAATGCGTCGTGCAAGAGAAGAGACGAGAAGTGCGAGAGAACGAGTGAGGATGAGACGAAGGAGGAGGAGGAAGAGGAGAAGGGAGGAAGAAGAGGAGGGAGAGGACAGGGAATAGTAACGCGCAATGCCCGGACAACGCTCCCGCAACGCTGGGGCCAACTAACGGTCCAAACCACCACCATGAGTACCATCGCCACCACCACCACCACCACCACCATCACCATCACCATCGCCGCCACCGCCACCGCCACCGCCACTGTCATCACCACCAGTGCGAACCTAACTTCGATAGTCCTCATCATCTTTCTCCCCTCTCGCGCTTCGTTTTTCGTCCCTCCCTCCTCCGTTCTTCTGTCTCCTTCTTTTCTGCGTCGTCTCCGTCGTCGCGGTCGTAGTCATCATCATCATCATCGTCGTGGTCGTCGTCGTTGTCGTCGTCATCGTCGTCATCGTCGTCATCGTTGTTGTCGTCCAAGTCGCGGTCACGACGGACGCGCACGCTCGACCGCGCGTGTGCATGTCCTTTTAAACTATAAATTGCCAGGACCGGTCTTTTACATTTCCTTTTACATTTCCTCACGATGAATTCCGCGAACGCGCGCGACGATAGCGCGACGAAGGGACAACTCAGGCGTGAACGATTGCTAAGGAAGAGAAAGAGAGAGAGGAGAGAGAAGAGAAAGAGAGAGAAAGAGAGAGAAAGAGAGAGGATGTTCTGGCAAATACAGGGGTATCCGACGAGGAAGCTGGATTCTATCTCCGGCTTAGTGTCATCGCGCGCGTTCGCTATCGACGAGCGAGACGACAGTATATCTCTATCGTCATTTCCTGCCAGTTCCTTATCACTGGAGCAACATAGGTAAACCTAGCAAATGCTCTTTCTCTCTCTCTCTCTCTTTCTCTCTCTAAACTCCATTTATGCTAAAGATATCCACAAATAACCAAGTATCATACTTCAAAATAAAATAGATTTAAAGCATTACAATAGTCTACAAGCAAAGCTTTTATTTTCTAATCAATGACATGATAAATTAATCTCCCACGCACACAAATAGTACGCCAAGAGAATACTGTTTTTTTACTATGTGGCTCAAGTGAAAATTGAGGAGAACAAGAGTCTATTGTAAATACTTGATTATTTACAGGTATGCATACATCACACCCAATAGTTTGCAGACGTAAAAATATGCTATGGAGAATGCGCTGTTACCATCGTGATGACGTAACGCATTTACTTTAATATTATTTGTTAACAATATTGCTGATTATTGTCAATAATATTACTGATCCGCGATCGGCGGCGCGGTTGGCACTCATAGTAAAAATCGAATGTACTGAAAGACGGAGACTGTTCGAAAAGCGGAGCCGTGTTGAAAAACGAGGAAATTTCATATCCGCACAGCCGCGTTCACGCAACGGACAAACGGATTCACGAGTATAAAGGACACCCTCGCTCAGCGATCAAAGGTCCGAGAAATTCTCGAGTTACGAGACGTTCAAACTAGATCTAACCGTTGATCGTTTTCTCTTTCTTTTTTCTCTCTCTCTCTTCCTTGAGCCGCTCTCGTAGCCGGTCTGTGGTAGCGCTTCCTCTCGTTGGTAAAATCCGCTGTTTGCCGAATAGCAATTTACCAAAACGCAAACAAAATACTTTCGTTAATTAGCATTTTTAGGGATTAACACCCGGGAGATTCAATGTGATTAACAAACGCTCGCGAATGGAGCTTGTTGACACGGTCGCAGATCGTGTACGCGGGGATTGCAGACCGTACACCCTAGTTTTCGACCGCAAATAATGAAATAAAAGAGTGCAAAAGACCTGCAAACTTACCGACAAGTCAATCCTGCTCGGCCCGATCTGGATTCTCCGGTTCGACCTCGCTGGAACCGCGTCTGCGTCCACCGCGTGAAAGCAAGCAGGATCTGAAAATATATTTCCCCTGATTAAATACAACGGTAACTCCACATTATTTGATTCAGAAAAATTGTAAGAATGTCGAGATATGATCGTGTTTATTCCTTTTAATTAACGTATTGATTGCGCACACGATGATATTAAAGAACTCTGTTCTCGACATCAAAATTTTCAAGAGCAACACGTTATTCTATGTTATTGTATATGTTAATTAAATTTAGATATTTTTTAAATATTAATTAAAAAAAATATATATATATATATATTTATTATAATAACTAATGATACGTCTATTATTCAGCGAAACTCGACAAAATTTTCAAGTTTCCAATAAAGATCTGAATAAAAATATAAAAAAATTTACAACGGAGTATGGAACAGATAATTATTTTTGCACCACGGCTACAAAATAATTCGTATTCGCCAGTCAATAATCAGACTTGATAAAAATAACAAACACGGTAGATATACCACATGAATTTTGTCGACTCACATTGCTCACACGCTAATGAATGGCACGACAGTCGCGGCAGAAATATCGCGAGACGGTTTTTTATTCACATAAATGTATTAACCAAAACTTGAACATAATAATAAGCCACTTTATATGCTCACAATCGCGTTGACTGCTATGATTAACCAACATTTCAGTTATCTATGCGTCTGTAATACAAAATTTACACGGGCTTCGGCGCGGCGTTGGTCGCGCTTTAAATAATTGTTACACAGCCTGTTTGATATTCTAACACATTTTCTTATCCCAATTATATCTAACATTTAATATTGTAATATCAAATTATATTTCATTTGCGAATCTTGCAATGGAAGCTGGACTCTAACGTACTTTTTCCTGGGATCTGGGAAAAATCAAAGAATTTTCTTGATAACATGTTTGATGCAACCAGAAGTTCCGAAGAATCTTCGCTACGTCAAGGTTTGTTCTATATCTGTCAAGGTGCTTGTCGGTAAAATTTTATACAATAATGGATCTCCAAAAAGTAGACGAATTTTTACGTGGGCTGACAACAGATAAAAATCTCATCTAAAAGAATCCTTGACAGAAAGGTAGGTATTAAGTGTATTTTCTTCAAAATAATCGCTGTATTATTACTTTCTATCGACAAGATCGTGTTAAATGCTTGACGGAACAATGCTGTCCTGGCACGACCGTAAATCATGGTTGGACCTTTAAGAATCAAAGGACAAGATCGGCGAACGTGTTCTTTGATTGAGAAGACAAAATCGGAGTCGGTAAGAGAATTTCACGAAACATGGAAAGTGTGGACAGTCTTTTGAACGGCGGACACTGAGAATAATAGAATCATACTATTTCTATATAGTTGTTGTGTATTACGTAAACGGCACCTGCCGAAAACGGAAATTGGAAGCACAATTCACGGAATAATCGCGCTAAATTAATCACGCTAACTCATGCCACAAAATCGAATTTGATAATAAACGCAAGAAATAAAAAAGCGAAAAATACAGAAACCAGCGGGCTAAAGAAGCAAATCTCGCACAGGTGGGGAATAAGAATCGATATAATTAGCCTACCTGGAAGATTCGAAGCAAAAAGTTACCGCGGACGAAGAATAGCCAGCGGGGGACGTCGGATGTGTACGTATCGAGTGACTACACTAACGGCAGCTGGTGTGCAAGGCGTATATATATATATATATATATATATATTCTAAGCGAGGATTAAGAGTTTCAGGGAAAAGCAGTCGTTGAGAAAAAAAAAGGAGAGAAAAAAAGATGATGTGAAACGAGGCAGGAATCGGACCTCCGCACGTCGCGGCGGATACGTCGCGAATGATAAACAATGTACGACACGCGGTCGCGAATAATAAGCCCTGTGCGCGCCTTGAGATACGCGCCGGTCGTATTACATTACGCATTCTCCCGACGTTCCTCTTCCGGAAAAAGATGGACAAAAAAGTACAACCGCCGGTCTCTCGGACGGCGAGACCTCCTGACCCGTTTCTAAACCCATGTTGTACCTGTACGCCTCTCCCGTCCCTCAACGCGCATCGGTGCAAAAATCGATGACAATAAGCGCGACATGCGCGTAGAAGCAACGATCTGACAGTTTTACGTTAATATTTAGAAACAACGTGTGCGATTGGAAAATATCAATACACCACATGTTGACACTTTGAGGAATTTTCATTGTGTGATATTCCTGTAATTTATGGAGAGATTTCGATTTATCTCTATCTCCTCTAATATTCCCGAAGATAACTGAAGTATCATTTATTGATACAAAAAAATAATTTAGATTTGTTTCGTTATTAACAACAATTGAGTTTAGACCCCTGATGAAAAATTTTCATTGAGATCTGAAGTGAGATCTCAATCATTTCATATGAAACTTCAATTGAGATATCATATGAAAAATAAATAATGATATGTAAATTAAGACATTGTGTGAAAAATCATGAAAAAAGTAAGTAATGATATTTTAATCAAAAATGATACAAAAACTTTTCTATTTTCTATTCATATGACATGTGATATGATGAAGCCGCGTGAACTTTTTCATTAAGAAAAACGCAATTGATGCAAATTGAGACATTAAAACTGTCATCTTAGACGGATAATAGACATCCAAACGCGTGGCAAGTCAACGTATCACTGTGCATCGACTAGCGATGTATCGGCAATAGTGGCGCTCACGTTAGTCGTGTTTTGTTTTGTTCCAGAGGTCGGTTTAGTCGGCTTTGTTTACCAGCGAGCGTGCCGCGTCGTGTCGCGTCTCGATCGCGTCTCGCACACATAGTTGCGCGCTCCCATCGCACGATCTCGGTTTTGGATGCATTCCGACGCGTATGTCACCGACTTCGACAGCGACGACAATGATATCGTATGGCCATATAACGATGACGACGACGAGGATCATGAGGATCAGCACAGCGTATCTACAGTAAGATTGGAGCCGTCAAAACGCGTGTATGAGTTTGGTGAGTTCGAAGAGCACTATGGCTGGGTACAATGCCGATCCAAAAGTCAACAAAATCGCCTGTATTTTCATAACATGCATAGCGGCTGTAACACGTGGTACAGGCCTGTCTCGCATAACATCAAGATCCCAACCGTATCCCTCGAAAAGGTGAGTTAATAAGCGTGTTCAAGGTGGCTTCCGTCAAATTCTGGATTAAACTAATCGACGATTAACTCAGCCGACAAAGTTACCAATGTGGAAGGTAAGGGCAAGAGCACAGGCTTTTGCATAACGCATAATAATTGCACAACGCATAAGAGAATCAACAAATCAGAGTTCTTCATTTCTGTCCTGAGGAGGGAAATGAAGAACTCTGATTTGTTGATTCTCTTATGCGTTGTGTATTATGCGTTATGCAGAAGTCTGTGCTCTGGCCCTAAGAGTTATCAACGCGTGTATAAGAGTTCTTTTGTTTTCTCTTTATAGTACTTGAAATTGTCGTATCGATCTGACATGCCACTTGTTCGATTTTGTTGATATGTGTAGAGTGAATTGTTGGGCGGAAAGTCACAGCTAGGAATCGTCGTTGGCAATTTTGCCGGTTAATCGTCGATCAATTTAATCGAGGTTTGGTGAAATTTAACCTCAATATTGCAATCGCACACAAATATAAAGAAATACAGTGTGATTTTCTCTACCTTTGTTTTTGATTGAGTAGTGATTTCCAGTAATTATGAGAGAAAAAACTCGTGGAATTAATTAATTTGTAAAACGAAAAAATATGAAATATCAAGAGTGTATTTTCCTTCAAAATAATTTTGCCCAGAAAATCGACGCAAAAGCCGCACGACAATAATCATCAACGTTAAGATTAAACGATAGTTTTTTTCAACAGGCTACTTGCACGGACGATTTAACGACGAGTGATTTGGAATTGATGTCGGTGTCTGACGACGAGAAAGAACGGGAATCGACGACGCACGTTCCTGACCGATTTTTAACGAAAACGTCGCTGGATATTCTCTCGCGGTGGTTTTACGCCCCTCTAAACTCGACCTTCGGCACGAAGGAGGACAACTTGAGCGAGATGGGTGACACGTTCGCAGCTGAATATGACGACGAGATCAAATGGATCAATGTGGACAACGAGAGCAACGATAACGGCTACAGCGACGGCAACGACGATAAATCGCGAACCGAATATTCGTCATTCCCTGTCGCGGATTTCCTCGAGACCGAAATCTTAGTGGGCGAAGGCGAAGTAAACATCGACTGTTGCCGAATGATCAAAAAAGAAACGATGAAAAGAAGAAAAAAGGAAAGAAATGATGACAACAACGACACATCGTCGTCGTCATCGTCGCTCTCCACTTCGCCGAATTTCGTCGTGTACGGCGCTCCACGCTTGAAGAAGATCGGCTTCGAGGAGCAAGTGGTCAAGTGGCAAGATGTTCGTCCTCCCAAGAATCAAGGAGGTCCCAGGAAGATCATTTGCGAGATGTATGGCGTGAGGACTATCAACTACGACCTGCCCGACGTGAATGAGATACGGCCGGTAGCGGGGGTGAAGTCGACGAGATTGAGCGATAGCGACAGCGACGATGACGACAGCGGGCTACCATCAGGCGTGATAGCAAACACTTTTTCGGATTTCGTTTTCGGATGCAATTCCATGGATTTGCGCCCACCGTTACTGAGCGACCCGAGCTCCAGCCCGTCGTCGAGGTCGAGTAAAAGCTCGAGCTCCAGCTCCAACTCATTCACGTGCTCCACATGCTCTACTAGCTGCACATCATGCGAATGAGACATCCAACGAAGCGTTGAGCCAATATTAACGAATGCTAAAAAGTATCAAACGTCTCAAGCTTGTATAGGAACGGCAGAGCTCCAGAGACCGCCGTTTGTTCAGTCGGACGATATTCTTCTCTGATTGTTAAAAGAGAGATTTTTTTTGTTTTTTTTTTTTTCGTATTTGACTGTGTTGCTCGGATTTTTATTTTCGTTATTATTGTACATCTTATACCACAAAAGTTTCGCTATAATGTAAGAAGCAATATCTTCTGTGATCAGTTAAAGTCACTTTCTATTTTTGTATTTTATTTAGATGAAACTTAATCAAGTCCATTCTTATTATTTTTTATCTTTATTTGTAAGGATAAGTGAAACCTTGTGATACACCGAGCAGTATTTTAATTTTAATTTTAGAAGAAATGACTTCTTTATTTATATAATCTTTAAGTTTTGCAGCTGTTACGAATATGTATTTTACATATTGACGTGGATTTTTTTTTTTTTGCGAAATGCGTTAAGTACGTTGCGTTAATAATATGCATAAAAGTGTGAAAGTAAAATAATTACACAAATCAACATGCATATTTCTTTTCTAGAATACATTATTCAAATATTTTTAAACACAATAATAAATTATTCTTACGGTAAAAAAAAAGATATTTCTCCGTCAAGCATGGTTCACTAATATTTATTGCGTAAACCGAATCGAGTTTTGCCAGGACGCACGAGAAACACTTACACGCAGCCGGCAAATATGCAATTTTTACGGCGCGCGGATTCTCGTAAAAGCCGAAAGCGGCGGATGCAAGCTAGAGGGTCGCTCCTCCCCGTCGTGTTAATGCGCCTGCGGGCATTCCCGGTATCCCGCGGTCGAGATCAGTAAGGTAGGAGTGCCAGGGCAACAACGAGGTGGTGCAGGTGCAACGGTGCGCCTCAAGTCGTCATCGTCACCATGGCGTACTCCCTTCCCCCTCTCTCTTTCTCTCTCATCTCGTCTCGTCTCGTCCCGTCCCGTCCCGTCCTGTCCTGTCTCGTTTCGCTTTGAGCACGAAGGTTGCGTTTTTGCTGGTCTCGCTGTGTAACGTCCCACCACGGAGTGGCAATGCGCCATGCCGCGCGTAATACCGCTTCGCCGAGCGGCGTCAACGGAGCGCGGCAGCGACGGAGGAAAGCGGAGAGACCGAGCAACCATCCAACCATCGAACCATCCATCCAACCATTCAACCAACCAACCAACCAACCAACCAACCAACCAACCAACCAACCAACTAACCAACCAACCAACCAACCGACCGACCGACCAACCGAATCGACTTGGCTCGCGGGGAGCCTTGCTTGAAGAAACGCGGTTCCGCACGTCGCGTCTTATCGCGCCGCGCTATGTTCTTTCAACGATCGTACGTTTGGAGTAACAATCAATCCAGGGGGACAACGACACGACAATGACGATGAGATAGGCGCAGAAATCCCGAGATTAGGCGTTCATCACAACGCCGGAATATGATTCATAATCCCGAAATTCTCACGTGCTCGTGACAACATGTATCACGAAAAAATGAGATACAACGACATCTCGAAGTACTTGAAGACATGTGAAGCGATGCAAGATCCTGATTCAGTCGCATTCGCACATTCCGCGTTTTGAAATAGACGTATCAGGCGACGATGCGCGATTTCACGTATGTATTCTGACTTGCGTGCTGGCCGGCAGGCAGACTGCAAGCAGCTCGGCAGTTCATTGCGCAGATCCTTCCATGCGCGGTAATGATCTATGCGGTGGATTGAGTTTATAGCGCGAGCCGATCAGCGCGCGCGTCAGAATGCGTGAAGTCGTGCATCGTGTGACGTCAGCTTTATGCTGCAAGATGCACAGTATACGCGCATAAAGCTGCACTTATTGCGCGCGATGAAATAAGACCCGGGGGATTCTGTACTGTGAATAAGTAATACGTGATTTCCTCATACTTTTTTAGACTCTTTCCATCTTTCTCTGTCAAGTCTCCACCGTATATCGATTTTTTCTAAAGCTTTAAAAGCATACACGCGATAAAAAACAAGCCTCACATTACGCGCGACTCGTTGTGTAAATTCAACGCACGCGCATTGATTCGGCGAATTTTCGGCGGAGCAAAGATGGCCGCTCGTTCGAACGAAATCCGTTTGATGTAACGCGCGGATTAAACGCAGCTCAAAAGAGAAGCATCGCGGCGGAGAGGCTAACGAGGCGTGTTCTCGTCTTTTCCATTGAATTCGCCGCGATGAAATCTATCGTATTCACGACGAGCAAGACGCCTAGAGGCCGCGACAAGTACAAACACGCGCGCGCGCGTTTATAACCGGCAAAAATCACAGCCGGTTTCTAGCCTATAGCATATGGCAAACGTTACCTCTTCTCGTGCATCTCCTCGCAGCCGGTACGCCGTCTCGCGGCTATTATTCGCTCCGTCCGTTGTCATCGTCCTCATCCTCGTTCTCGTCATCGTCATCGTACTCCTCGTCGACATCGTCATCGAGGAGCCGGCGAGCTGGAAGCGTAACAAACGGAATCCCATGGCGGAAGAGGATCATGGGAGTGAAGTTTGCCGTCCGCTTCGCGCTCTCTTCCGCTTGTTCTGGCGCGCGGCTAATGTCATGACGCTCGGCAGTGATGGCGCGCTGGCTGGCTGGCTGGCGCCATCTGTCGCCGCCGTTAAGCGGCGGAGCGCGCGCGTTCGTGATTGATCGTGAATTATGACTTGTCTGAGGCTCTATGTTCTCCGAGATTATATGAAACGGAACGATCTGTCTGTAACGAAACACGCACGCCTGCCGCATCTCCGTTACAGGCTTTTGCTAGCTTCCTTCCTTCGATCGTTCAATCTTCGCGGTAGGAAACGAGAAGAAAGCAAAGCGCCGTCTTTCGCCGGTTGTTTAACGCTCCGAGCGAGATCGTCCTTTTGGATCTGATCACTCACGGAGGATGAATGAACCGATGTGTGACGTTCGTTAGAAAATAAACAGGTAGTTTAAGCGTTCTTTTTGTTCTCTTTTCTCTCACTCTAGAACGCATTCTCCTCTGCACGAATGAACAGTTGCGTTACGCGCTACGGTCCAGGTAGAACAGAAAGTCACGATCACGTTGAGATGATGTCCAAATGATGAAATCGTGATGAAAAAGCGAGTTTTTATAGCCGTTTACTCATTTTGCGTCATTTTGCGACCGTCGTGCTTTTCTGTTCTGCATCGGGAGCTTCGTTGGCGATCGGCAATAAAGCAACAATCGACTTAAACGCGCTCTAACTGTAGAAGCGTTGTATAATAATACAATTAGTTTGATGATGTAACTCACGCCTCGAACTCTTCGAGAAGTCTTTCGTCAATTCGTCGCTTATACGCGGCCGATTGTTTCACGGTTTAAATGCGCTTTATAAAGAACTTTGGTGTTGAAGCATGGTTACTTTGAATACGAAATCTCACCTCGAATATACGCAGCCGACTGTTCTCGCGTGCCAACATTTTATGCGCAAGTGTCGATTCGTTGACGCGCGTTCGCTAATAAGATCGAAACACGCTCATCCGCACGATCCCATGATCTGTTCGTCGCGATATTACGAACGCGTTCTTCGTAACGGGCACAATTGAAAGCCCAAGCTAGACGGTGGTGTTTAATGCTAAATGTGGGATGTGAATAGCGACTTACGGTCTCGCGGAGCCGTTCGTTTGTAAAGCCGGAGTTGTAAGCACAGCAACAACGAGAAGGCCGGAGAATCGAGGGCCCAGATGTACCTCGGCTGATAGATAAGAGTCCCCGTGAAACAGCCATGAACTTTGCACCGTGAGAGGGGTTGCCTTTGCTTAACGAGCCGCGCCGGAGTTCCCGCGCTTCGAGACAATGAGGCGTCCGTGCATCCCTGCCCCCTTTGCCTCTCTTCACCACATTCTGCCTCAAGCGCGATATTCATAATGCAGTGAGAAAGGAAGTCACGTGATATCGCGATTTGTTATTGTGCTTAATCCGTCGCTCCAGCAAGTTCAGAATTGACTTTTCTATCGTCTTGTTTGCAGATATATTAATACTGCAGATCGGAGGAAGGTTTCAGCCGAATCGCATGATCAAACCATTTTGTTATAATCAATAAATAAATGTATAATTTACATATATATGTGTGGGGAATGAGAGAGAGAGAAAAAACGAAATAATAGTTCTAAATATACTACATACAATAATTAAATGATTTTTCTTAATCATGAAAGATAAATAAAATTTTACAAGCTATAATTATCATAAAAATCATGATATGAGATAATTCAGAAAGCACATTTACAGTTGCAAAGTTTCTAACCTTTAAACATATTCTTGAGCATAAAATTTAATATAAATTAAGAACCGTCAACTATATACCTTTTCAACTATATACCTTTTCTTATAAAGTTTGTCAAGTATCGCGTCAAGTTTTAATAGAATATTATACATGAACGACATTTATATAAACATTAGCTTACACACGTTTGAAAAAACGACGGAGGTTTAACCTCCTATTGAATCGTACTATTAGAAAATATGTGATAATCCTCTGGCGCTCGTTTCGTTAATGAGGATAAAAAGAAGCTTGACCGATCGTTGCAATGTATTGCCAAATTAAAAAGAATTAACTACTCTTAAATCATAAAACTTGATAATAAAAAATTTACCTGGCGTTGTAATATTACATACTCGGTCACTTATTTCATTAGAACCGATGGTGACACATAGCGGAGGCTCTGAAATAACAACCGACTTGCTAAATATAAAATGGCTCACCTGGCGCCATCTAACGGCAGCGTATGAAACTTCAATGACGATTCAAGTACCTTTGCAAAGTGGTTTAAACAGAGAGAAACCTGCAGCTGGATTCTGTACTGTAACTCGTTATTGGAGTTAACGACACTTTCATTATCGTTGCGCAGCTTTTGTATACCGTAGAAAAGCTGCGCAACGATAACGAAAGTAGCAAATCAGTACCGAAAATCGAATATCGATTAATACCATAAATCAGTGTCAAAAAATTGCACACGTGCAATGACAATTTGTTCTTATTTTTCAGGTACATACCCCTCTAATCTTATTCAACAAATTAACTCAGATAATAACGAACGATTCGTATCAATTTTTCTCTTCTTATAGAGAAATGAAGGAGTAAATCAGTACCGAAATCGAAGACCGATCAATATCTAACTTATTCATCAAATTAACTCGGATAAACGAACGATTCGTATCAATTTTTCTCTTCTTATAGAAAAATAAAAGAGTAAATCAGTACCGAAAATCGAATAT